TACACTCTATCGGCTTCAATAGTTCAATGTAATATGACAAAGTGTACGTTGTATTGTGCTAGAATATCTTCAAAAGAAAAGGGATTTATATAAAGAGAAACAGGGTTCCCTTTGGGGTCATTGCTGGTAAAGTATCTTGGTGTCCCTCTGATTTAGGAAACTAAGTTCATTGGATTGTCAGGTTTTGGTTGATAAAATTACAACAAGGGTTAGAAGTTGGAAGACTCGTTTTCTGAGATATGCAGGTCGGTTACAATTGGTATTTTAGTGATTACAAGCACCCTTCAGTACTGGATGGCAATATTCCTACTGCCTATGAAGGTATTAAGGAAAGCAATATGTGACAGGTTCTTATGGGATGTGGGTGAAGAGGGGTCGAGGAAGAGGGCTCCAATATCTTGGAACTTTTTTGTTTTGCCGAAGCTAGAAGGAGGACTCGGGATTTAAGATTTTAAGACTTGGAACTATGCATGTATCACTCGACATATATGGAATATCTTGGCTTAGGCTTGGTCATTATGCGTGGCATGGATGCGGAAATATCAAATGAAGTAGAGATCTTTGTGGGATCTATCGATCAATCAGCGGGATCACGACTTTGGCGAAGAGTATTGAAGGGTCGAGACTCCCTGCAACCCTTCATAACATGTTCGGGCCCTTCTCTCAAATGGAATGGAGTATCAATGTGCAAATATTGTGTAAAAACAGTTTGATAAACTATCAGAGTCTCTTCTCCACATGTGGTGTGGGGCAAGCCAATATACCCCAATCATAGTGTTCTTTTATGGTTGATCATTTTGGATCATATAGTCACTAAAAAGAAGTTGAATGCATGTAAGTTGATTGCAGAAGTTAGTCATCCTCTCTATCCTAGAAGAGAAGAATCATGTGATAATTTATTTGGCACTTGTCCATTCTCTAGCCGTGTTTGGACAAGTGTGTTGCAGTTGATATTCAGAATCCTAGAGTTCGACGCCCATGCACCTAAGATGAGGGCTAATAAATGGAAGGGTCGTAAGGATAGGTCAGCTTAGGGTGCTTACTCTAGAGTGTGGTGCTAAGTCATATATTGAGGGAACGCTATGCTAGATTGTATGGAAGCCGTGGATGGTGTTCACCCATGCATGTTGTTGCTCGTATTTTGCAGGATTGTAGAATGTTTGTGAAAGGAAATTTAACTTTGAGAGTAATCTTCTTAACATATATTATGGCCGTTGTAGAGAAAGATTTTGCCACGTAGGACAAAGAAAGCTCCACAATTTTCCATGTCATTTACGATTTTAACATTTTAATTAAGTTATTAATTACATTAAAATAAAACTAAAAACATGTGTATCAATCATCATGACCAAGATTTGAACCTATGACCTCCAAGCTCAAACTATCATCATTTCTAGTGTTCTACCAGTAGGATAAAGTATATTTGATTATATTGATCACAACAAAACATGTATATCAATCACTATAACTAAGATCTAATCATGCAACCTAGGAGCTCAAACTATAATCATTTAAGTTGTTTAACCAATAGAAAAAATATCTTTTATGGAATTAATCACAACAAGATTAATACTCATTTTATAAAAAAATATACAACACATAAAATTATATTTTTATTTAATGGTTGACTTATGTACATTACACAATAAAAACTATCACGGTTAAAATTTTGTATTCTATTTTTAAGAAACTATAGAAATCATTAACAACTAAAAATAACATATTTTGATTTTTAGTTGATAATATGTTTGATAATATTTATAATTTTTGAAAAAATAATTAAAAAATCCAAAAAGCATGAATTTAGTTGGTACCCAATTATTAACTTTTACATAATTTGACATATGATTTTTAAAAAATGAAAAACTAAAAAGCAAAGAATTACCTTCTTTCATATTCTAACACGAAATATTTAACATTTTTTTGTACGAACTACTATAAATATGTGAACCAATAGAGTTATGTTGCAATTTTTTAGAAAATAGATACTATAAATATATGAGCTAATACACTCTTATCGCGCTGTACTAGAAAAATAACATTTTTTGTGTGATTACTAGATTATTAAAAGATAATAGCTGAAGTAAAAATGATGGTTTTCTAAGTCAAAACCAGAGTCATAATAATTTATTCATGTGAGATATTCCTATATTTGAAGATTAATGAAATATATCAACATAATTCAATTTAGTGATACACAACAATTTCATCCAGACACCAATGGTCACCAAATTTTTTGTATCTTTTTCGAATCCGAATAATGGTTATATGTTAAGATATGTCCGTGTTCAATTGGTAAGAAGTTACAAAAAAAGTAATATATATATATATATATATTTATTTATTTATTTATCATCTTTAGGGAATGAATTTTACGTTTCTTGCATTTTAAATGATATCATTATCTTTTCTTTTGTGCGATTTCAATTTCATTCTATTTTCAAATTTTTGTACGCCATTGAATTTTCTTCCATGCACAATTATAAAACACATTGTCTTTACTTTTTTCCTTATGTAGTTATAGTTTTTTTCTTTTTATTGTTTGACATTAATTCTTTTCTTTTTCCTAGAGTGTAGATTTGCAACTTAGTCATCTTCGGTTGCATAGCATCTTAATTAAAAAAAGATTTATAAACGAATCTTAATATATATAATGGTTGAGATGTAAATAACTATTTTAATCTTTACTTAATGTGACACGCTAATACATATATTACTATTCTATTTTTAGTAACCATTTATACTCGCCGGATAATCCAACTTATAAGATAATGATATAATACTTCTCTGTTACCTTTAAAAGTACAACTCGAAAGGACTTATTGTCCTTTCCAGTGACCATGGCAAAATATTGAGTATTCAGTTTCCCGTCACCCACCTCTCAGTCCTTACTCACTTAACTTAACTGTCAAGATACATCCGATGTGCTATATCTCATTCAGTCAAATAAACATCCATTCATCACATGTCATACCACATTCATCATCTCAAACTCAAATAATTCATACATTAACAACATAAGGACCATCACCCAGCCTCTTGATAACTTACTGTATAAACATGTATGCATCAAGTATCACATCATCGGCATTACCATTTAACCCCGTCCCAACATAGCGAAACATCACACCATCTAATGGTAAATCATTGTCTAAAACACCATAGAAAACCATCACATAACCATCATCATCCACATGCACATTTCATATATCACATCATAGGAAGTAATCTTTACACAATAATTCAATCACATGCATGATTAGGTTGATTCAGTGCTTTTTACTTCTTAATTTGCCAAGTCATGCACTCCCCGGATAGTATATTAGATGTAATGTATACCACCGTGGATCGTACCTAGACTGGTGTCCTGTAAATCCACTACGGGATCATTCCCCGACCGATATCATGTATAACAGTGCGGGACATACACGAACCAGTGTGCTATAAAACCAACGCAAGATCATACCCTGACCAATGTCCTGTAAATTTATCTATTGTACTAATTGCACAACATGGCGCCTTTATGTTTGTATTAAGTTATCACACAATTCCAATTACAACCAGTCACACATTTAATATTGGATGATAATGTGAAGAGAAGAAAAAGTGTCTCTATAACTAACATTTCGATTTGATATCATTCATAAAATGTTGAAGGTAATATAGAAGCATAGCAAGTTTGGTTGTACTTTAATATAATGGTAGAAAAGGCTAGCGTACAATCGATGTGTGATATACACCTTCGTTCACACCTATTAGTTGTTCTTTAATATATTTTGACAAATAATAATCCTTGGTTATTATTTTTGTATTAAATGAATCTTACGATTTGGATTGAGAATTAGAGAATGGGGTTCGCCCATTAGAGACTTGGTATAGGATCATGTCCCAAACTCCGTTAATTAATGGTCTAAATAGCAAAACTTGAAATTAGTACGGTAAGGTGGCGTACGCTAGCTTAAACCATGTACAACTTATGAAGTTGAAAATGGCAGGTCAATCAAAGCTTAGATGGTATGAATACTATTTTCCAAGCAGTGATGAAGTTACAACGTTGGTTGACATTATTGTTGATCATGATTAAAACCTTGATTAAATGTAGCGCCCCTCATATCTTTTTTATATTCAAAGCGCCCCTCATATATGATGAAACACGGATAATAGATAACAATAATAAATAAATATGGAAACTAGGAGTCCGATACCTTTGGGAAAATGACATATAATAGAAGTAAAGGTACAAACAAATGTAACTCGCCGCCCATCGGGCAAACACAAAACTAGTAGTTTATATATGTTGTTGTGTTATTAGTAGTATGATTTTGGCTTATATGCCTATATGCAAAACAATAAGAGGAGTTTAATGCTAATTGCATCTCTTGTACTTAATGACAATTTTGATTTAACCATTAAAAGTGACAAAATCAACACTCAATTGCTTTCGACAAAAAATATTTTTTTACCCTTTCCCACTTCCCCTATTGTGACACTACAGCTAAATTACTAAATTTTCCTTTAAAATTCCCACCTTCCCATCTAGTTAGGGTGGCTAACGATTGACAGTTAGGGGTTTTAACAGATAAGCTAACCGATAAATTTGGTTATTGGTTTAACCAATAACCTATAAGACGTTAATGGTTTGTCTTTCGGTAGGGGTTTTTGACCTATTAGTTAACCAATAACCAACCTAGAGCTTAGTGGTTAACCGATAAGTCTGATTCCCAACTAGCTAATGCTTCCCCCTTCACTCAACAGTAACACGATGGTGGAGCTCGTGACTAAAGGCAAGCAGTCCTAGCCCAATAACTTGGAGAAGGTGTTTGCTGCTGGTCAGTGATTAATCGTCAAACTAACCACTAACCGAACCGATAAGTAATGGTTAATCGATAAACCTTATTGGTTCGGTTTTCGTTAAGGAATTTTTGTCTTATTTGTCCATCACCGACCATTATATCGACTAGTGATTAACTAAAATCAAACCGATAACCACCCCTACGGCCCTACTTGATGGCTCGAATCGAGACTCGAGTCACCAATGGCAAACCCAACCCATCTGTCAATTTCGGGTATCTGAACGTAGCAAGGCTCGAAAGCTAATAAACCAGCAAAAGGTTCCGATAATCCTGTGAATTTCCTCGGTCAGCCGCCGATTATCTGAAGCAAGTAGAGATGGCGGTGGCAGTATCGGGGCTATGGTGTCCCAATCCAACTATCAGCAGGATTCCCACTCTTGAAAGCCGACGCATGTCAGTTAGGTCTGGACCGCTCGCCTCCGTTGCTTCTCTCTCGTCTCCGCCTCCTACCATCCAGGCAAGAACTTGTTTCGCTTTTGCAGTAATGTTTCGTTTTCGCTTCCTTGAGTCTGAAAGCGACAAATTCCTCGATGGTTACTTTAACTTGGGCAGATTGTCGGCGGGAAAGCTCCGAGTTGGTATGGCGATGGAGGTGCTAGTTCTTCGAACAGTTACGGACTGGTGGGTGTCGAAGGAGACGAAGATATTGATTGGGTTAAAATGGAGGCCGACCTCTACTACTGGACCAAGGCACTTCGTCCTGTTCAGGTACTGAAAATTAACTCGTTGCTTTATCCATGGCGGCTGGGGAGGAAATGAATGTTGGAAGAAAGTTTTCTTATCTGAAGTCTGGGAAACTATGCAGTGGTATCCTGGTCACATTGGGAAAGCTGAAAAGGAACTGAAAGAGCAGCTGAAACTGATGGATGTGGTGATTGAGGTTCGTGACGCCAGAATTCCCTTGTCCACCACCCATCCAGAGGTTTGAATTCTTTTCAATATTTATGATTGTGAATTCCGTGGCTCCATTCTAGTTTTGAGCTCAGGGGTTTCAGCAACTTTCCATTGCTGTGTCTCATGTTGAGCCCAGATGGATTCTTGGCTCGGAAATAGGAAGAGGATCTTGGTTTTGAACAGAGAAGACATGATATCCAAAGCTGATAGGAATGCTTGGGCAGCTTATTTCTCTAGGCAGGGAATGAAGGTTATTTTCGCTAATGGCAAGCTTGGAATGGTGTGTAACTATTTCTTACTCTTGAGCCATCCTCATTCTGCTTGAAGTGAGCAATTGCTTATGTATATCAGAAGCCATGAACTTTCTTGTGGGTACGATTAAATGTAGGGCAGTACGAAGCTTGGGAGGTTAGCAAAGGATATGGCAGCGAATGTTAATATCAAGCGCAGAGCAAAGGGTCTTCTTCCTCGTGCAGTAGGTTTTCTAACGACTATCGACAACAATCTTCGGTTACTTTTGCTGAATTCTTTGATTCCTGTTCATAATATTTTTTTCTATGATCCAAACGGGATTGTCCGTTACATAATAATATATTTTTTACAGTTTCCATTACATGTAAGTATGATCATTGATAGTTTTGATAAGAGATACTTTTTCCTCCTTTGGTCAGGTTCGTGCTGGAATTGTTGGGTATCCAAATGTGGGGAAATCCTCTTTGATCAACCGGCTACTGAAGCGTAGAATGTGCCCTGCCGCCCCAAGACCTGGAATCACAAGAGATCTCAAGTAAGTAGTTACCTGGAGTAAATGCGCTCCTGTTAAGTTACTGCCTGAAGGAATTAACGATCTATGGGTTAGTTCCTTATAGCAGATGACGTTCCTTGCATGCTGAAAAGCTCAAATGATAACTGAGTACTAAAGTTTTGTTTTAACAATTATGATCGAGTTGTTACAATATAGCCTCCCAGCTAAGGGTTAATTTGCGCTTCAGGAATATATGTTGAAGGACAAGAGACTTATCCTCACATTTCTGCTTTGACTGCATGTGGCATGTTTCCTCAAAAGATGGGTTCGATTTGGTAAAGATCTGGAGTTGTTAGATTCTCCAGGCATTTTGCCGATGCGAATAAGCGATCAAACGGCTGCCATAAAACTTGCTATGTGTGACGATATCGGAGAGAGATCTTATGACGTCGCTGATGTTGCTGCAGTTCTTGTGCAGATGCTAATAAGAATTCCTTCAGTTGGTATGTTAGGCCATTTATTACTTCTGTCCATCTGTTCATACTGTCTTTCCTCTAACTTGGAACTTTCTTCCTTTTTTGCAGGTGCAAAAGCGCTTCAGGACCGCTACAAGATTGATAATGATTGCCTCTGTGGTAAAACGTATGTAAATATTCCATTAGTCCCTTTAATAATCTATTAGGAGGGGTTTTCACCCCTTTTCTCTCCTGAGATGAAAAGGTTTGGAGTCTCGTACGGGGTTTTCAACCTTTTGGCGGTTTTGGTTGACTTGTACAATCAGCAATCATCCAAGAGACTTGATTGATCTAACCCTGTTTTTGCATGAATTAGTAAAGAATTGGTTCTGATGGAGTATTAGGTGTTTATTTAGTTATTTACTCATCTCTGAGTCTGCTTTTGTTGCCTTCCCCATTGTACAGATTTGTGCAGAAGCTTGCACTTCACTTGTTCAGTGGAGACACGCACCAAGCAGCATTCCGCATCTTGGCCGATTTTCGGAAAGGGAAGTTTGGTTGGGTTGCGCTCGAGAGACCACCTAGATGAAGCTTTCTCCAGCGTTGAACTTTCTGGATCCTGCAAACTCTTCCATCACCTGTCTTCGGAGGCCTATACGAGACAAGACGAAGAGATGGCTTATCTAAGATATGTATGGTACGTTATGTATGGGCGGATAAGCAGCCATCCTCCATGGAAGAAAGTGAAGTTCTGTTGGATCGAACTGGTTCTGGAGATACGATGGACAGTGAAAAATGGGCGGGGAAGTGAATTAATTATAGTGAAAATGACCACGTCTACATGAGCAAGCCAATATGTGTATGGGCAGTGTGTTGTAAATTTTCCTAGATATGCTTGGACTGATGAAGGGCTCCTCTGTGATGTGAACGGAGGCGCTCTCTTTCCGTCATGGTGCAGTTTTTTTCTGTGATAATTGTGTTTTCCTTGTAGAATATGTATGATATGTTTCACATGTGATTGGCAGTTGGCACTTTTGAAATCGACAATCTCCAGGGTTGAGTTAAAGTCCTTAAGCCTCATTTCTTAAGGAAAATCTTAAAGCCTTCCTATTGGCTGATAGTGGATTAGGTAGTTAATGGGGTTAGTAGTTAATAGGTAGTTAAGGGTAAATAAGGTTATGCAAATATAATTAATTAATGATTCTCTTTCTCTCTCTTCCCATGATTTTCTCCATAACCCTCTCTACATTATAATTAAAAAGAAATATTAAATTAATTTTATTTAATATTTAATAAAATCCGAATTTAATAATTTTCTTTTTTTAAAATGGAAATTTGAAATTTAAAATATATGCCTCTCTCACATCTTGGAAACTTCCGATTAGTATTAAGTATTAACATTTTGTAATGGCATTATCAATATTTATAAATTGAATCATCATTAGGGCTTTTCATTGCATGGGTTTGAGATTTTTCGTTGTTAGGTATTCGTTTGTGTTATTATTAATGTTGTTCGACATATTTTTTTAATAATTTTATATGATATTATTAAATTTTTATGTTATTTTTGTTTGAAACATTAACAAAAGTGAAATTGTGTTTTCAATTTGTTGGTACTTGAAGTTTATTTACTATTATATCGTATTATCAATTTGGTTTGAAATGATTTATAATCATTTGAAGTGCTATTATCAATGTTTTTTTTTCAAGCACAATACAACCATTAACAAAAATTTATTTCATTTGTAAGATTGCTTATGTTTAGTGATTTGAATTATTAATATTTTTTCGTTTATGCTTGTAACTTTGTCAAATGTCATTATCAAGAAGCATACTTGTTAGATATTCATTTGTTTATGACATTATCAAAAGTGAATTTACGTTTAATGATATAACTATGGTTATTAATCTTTCAGTCTAAGTTAGTAACGTAGTTGGTGTCATTATTAATAGGCGTGTATAAACATTATCAATGTTTGAAAATAAGATATTAATAATATCTAATAAGGTACTTAACAATCATTAGTTGCTATCATTATCAAAGTGTTTGGATGCATTATTCATTAAACACATGTTACTTATTAATGCGTTTTTAGTGCTATTTGACATTAAACATTGCATCTTAATATTATTAATATTTTTTATTACAAAAACCTATTTCCTTATCAGTGACTTGATCATTCGATATTAATGATTTTTAATATCATTATTAAAAGTTTGATGTCATTTATAATATTGAAGTCAGACATTTTTACATTAATGTTTTGTGTTTATTTTCAACGAAATACTTTTCGTTATCAATGATTTATTGTATTGTTATTAAAAGTTTGGTGTTGAGACGTGAATGTTGGTTTCATGGTTTGCTTGAGCTAATATTATTTTGGACAATGTTTGTTTGACTAAATCACACAGGTGTACTATGTCACAACTCACAAGTACCCATGATGTTGAAAATCAGTATTGTGCTTTATGATCATTGAGAATGATAATGTAAAGCAATATTAATTGATCATAAAACGTTAATAATGTCATTAGAAATCATTGGAAGAGGCCATGACTAGATAGTTATAAACATGATGTGAAAATGTGAATCATTAGTACTAAAGATGTTGTAAATCAATGATATTGTTATTCAAACTATTAATGACTATGTTACATAACTTTAATGATTCATTCATAAGCGTTTATGACGAAACTATAAAACAGTAACAATTGATCCAAAATAGTTAATAATGTAATTGTAAGGAATTGATAAGTATATTGAAGTCGTTAATAATGATGAGGTATAATAATAACGATTCATTTCATAAATGTTGATAATGTCATTGCAAAATGTTAATATTGTATTGCAAGTTGCCACGAAGTGAAAGAGAGCATATATTTTTAATTTTCAATTTTCATTTTAAAAAATAAAAAATATTAAGTTCGAATTTATTAAATATTAAATAATAATATTTAATTAAATTAATTTCGAATTTTCTTTTAATTGTAGTGGAAAGAGAGGGTTATGGAGAAGATCAAGGGGGAGAGAGAAAGAGAATCATTAATGAGTAATATTAATTATATTTTCATAATATCTTATTTATTCCAACTAACTATTAACTACTAACCCCTCATTAACTACCTAATCTAGTATCAACCAATAAAAATGGTTTAAAAACCTCCTTAAACAATGAAGCTTAAGGACCGGATCTAACCCGCAATCTCCACTGTAGTTATCATGTTGAATGGCTGTAGAGTGCAGAGACCAGAGAATTTGAGTTGGTGGATATGGAAAACGTCGGCACTAGCAGACAGGAGTAAATGCGGCACCGATTGTGGCGCTAAGCCGCCAACTAAAAAGATCGATGCTTTTAACAACCCAATCGTCAGTGTAGAAGTAAAGTTCAAAATCAGAGGAACAGAAACAAACACTCAAACAGCAATAAAATTCCGTGAACTCTGGAGTTTCTCTCAAATCTATACAACAACAAGAAGGAATGACTGTGATGAGGGGAAATGAATAACTAGGCACCACATGCCAGTGCAAGTAAATTGACAATTCAAATAGTCTCCAAAATCTGCTAACCTTTCAATATGCTTGTCCAGCTCTACCTAGCTACAACGCCCAACTTTCAATGAACAAATCAATGTGGGATCGACCGATCGAACAGTACCAGTGCAGTAGGCACTAGTCTTACAGAAACCATCTTCATCTTGCAATTGCAGGAGCACAAGTGGTTGTCGAATCCTCATTGTTCGACCAGGTCTCCTTGATTCGACAAGCTTGAATCGACCGTTCAATCTGAAGCACGTCCGTGGCTTCTAATCTATCCAAATTACAGCAGTATCTCTCAAATGTGGTGGTATTTACCTGAAGTCTGAAATCTACACTAAACAAAAACTTCATTTCCAACTTGTTCAGCTCCCCTGTGCTTATTCCTCCTACTTTGGCATAGTAGGCATTGTTGAAGAATCTGTAAACCGTCACTTCCAAGCATTACTACCTTGCAAACTGAATTCATCATCTGAATATATTTGTACATAAACAAAAAAACACTCACGCATCATCGACGAATTTAGCTGCAAGCATGATGCTGGTGATGAGGAGGCGGTGGACATTTAGCGACGTTAAGTGTACATTGGTCTGTTTGACAAATCTATCCAAGTATATCTGTGCAACAACAAAACAGGAAGGACTGCAGCAAGAGTACTTGAAGATGCGTTCAATGTATTGCTGAATGCTCACTGGTGGTGCTCTCAAGCCATGGAAAACAGTGATCACATCTTTGATCTCATTACTCTCCAGTAACATCTCATTCTTCTTAACCAATCTCTCGAGAAGCGACGAAACAAGTGCTAGAACACGAGGAGGGGATCGATTACACGATGCTCCTTTCCCTGCTTCCCTGAGCCCCAGCGACAAGTACAAAACATCTCGGTCCAGCACCCGGTCATCAGTTGACAGAGTTCCCATATGTGAAGATGATTACACACACAGCAACTCTTAAACCCTGCAGAACTGGGAAAACGATTCACATCAAGCCTTACTGAATTCTGCAGGCAATATACAAGTGAGAGCAAGCACCAAAATTCTATGTATATCCAAAAGTAAAACGTTAAACAGCCACTTGTTTGTTACTCGATGATACCGAATTGCGAGGGAAATGGGGTCAATCCAAAACAGAAACCCACAAAAAGGGGAAAAGAAGAGAGTCAATCCATTAAATCAACGCAGAAGAATGTATTCCAGTGAGAGCAAGTCCAGATCTTGCAGGCGGCGTTGATATCAGCAGCTTTGAATTCAGACCAGACCCGCAAAGCATAAGAAAGAGCGTCTAAAGATTTCACCTAACAAATGAAACTACAACCCAGCAGTAGCAAACAGCAACCCAGCAGGAAGAAACCTAAAGAGAATTTCCAAAATTGGGTAGAAAGCTGAAACCCAAATGGGGAATCTAACAAGAAAAGAAAATTAACTTACAGATAAGGTCACCCTTTGGAGGATTACTGAAGATAGTGAGCAGTCGGTGGGTAGGAGTAGAAGAAAGAAGAAGATGCGGCGAACATAGACTAACGAACCCACCGACACCTTCCCAAAGCGGAGGTTAATTGGTCATAGGATTCCCGCCATGTCTGGGCATTTTCTTTTGCTGCTCGCTACACCCACAGTGGGTCTTTCTTCTTCACGCTTTCCCCCCTTCTTCAGGATGTAGAGAGACAGGTGAAGTGAGATGGGTTGGATTCCAGGGAAAGCTTATTAGTAGGGAAGAAGAAGAAGAAGAAGTGTATTTTAATGTTGGGTATGTGGGGGAGGGAAGCTAATCACGAGGGAGTAGAACAGAAAAAGGAGGGAAGTTTCTCTCTCCTACAGCAGCAACGCCACGTTAGTTGAAGTTGAAACTGAAGACGCCATTGCTTTTTCAAACCTTTTCCTCCTTTCCTCCCCACTCCCAACCATTAGCCATTTCAGTTTTCACGCACAGAACACTGAACAAGAGACAGGTTTGGAGACTGGATTTGATGAAAGAAGGAAGAAAAGCATTTCTCTTTCCCAATTTAAATATTATGTTTTTGCCCTTTTCTTGGTTGCTTTCATTGGTGTTGGTGGCGCGTGAAAGGTAAACTGGAAATTCCGGAATATTTAGCTTCGTTTGCATTAGTGATCGCAGTAGGGCTAGGCGGTACCTCAACACCCGTATAAATCCCGCACCAAATAAGAGTCGCAAGCAGGGCGGATCTTTGCTACTCGGAGCTTCTTCAAAGTTGCCCAAATAGTGGCTTAAAACATGCTCATTTATAGGTAGTCTGTTGTATACGGACTATCGTGTAGTAATTGAGTCGGTCTTTTAATTGTGTCGAGTGTTTGTCGTGTGCCCTTTGAGCTTGTCTTAAAAAATAAAAATTTGAGTCTGATAATTTTAATGACATGATTATTTATTCACAAAAAATTTAGTAAATAGTAAAACACTTTTAGCTTTATATAAATAAATAATCAGATTTACTTCTCTAACTTCCAATTAAAACTAAAAGGTGGAAATCTTACTTAAACTGAGTAGTAACGACTAATGAGTAGTGACACATGACTCAAGAGCACTTGGGGGTGTGGGCTGACTCAGATGTGCATTTCATCAGTTTGGATTACAAATAATCATCAAATAGCTAGCTTGCATGCAAGTTTGAACTAAGAGAGTCAAAAGGTAAATTACATCACATTTCAAGATCAATATGATAAAGCTCAACGAGTCACTCTTAATCCCCGACTTCAAATATTACGTAGATGCGCTATTGTTGTGGATTTTTACGTACTGAATCTTTGATCTTCGAATCTTTGGTTAGTTTGTTGGAAACTTTCGAGTATAAAGGCTCTCCATAATGACGACAACAAAACCAAAATAGCTGTGAAACCTCTAATTAGCCAACAAAAACAAGAAACATTACACTTGATTTTAATTTTCCTTTTCGTACTTGAGTATTTTTCCAAGACATTAGTTAAATGTTAACAAATAATTCTTATGAATCCAATCCCGACTAGAACAAATACAACAATAAATAACCCAAATAATCACAAAATAATAATAAACCATGAAAATTAAATAAAGATATACAATACTAATTCTTTGAATTGACATTTCTGCTCGATCTCGTAACAGAAAACTTGAGAGTTGAGACTTGTTTGGTCATCATATTCAAGAACTCCATTATTGTACCAAGTTATATTTTAGTTATTTTTTCCATCTTCCTTCATCTTTCTCTTTTTGTCATCGTCCATGAAACCGTACCGGAAGGCGGAAATCAAACCGAGAAAATCAGCGATAGAGTATTTTATGACAAAATCGTAGTTTAACCGTAGTTCAACGGTTAATACCGTTAAATACCGCATACCGATTTAGCCTCCAATACTGATATTTTGTGGTTAAACCGTCGATATGGTACGGTTTCATAGACCATACTTTTTGTTTGTTTGTAGGGTTCGAATTGTAGCGGACAACGGAATGAGAGCTGCATCCAGCCAACTTCCCTTCTTTCTCCACCCACCCCCACAAATTTATGTATATACATATATAACCTACCCTACCTCCTCCCCTCACGGCCTCACGTTGTCAATCGTTTGGTCAATTCATATAGTTGTGATTTCATCGTCAACCCCAATTACAAATGTCATATAATTAGCTTCTTTTTTGCAAGAACTGTGAGATATAGAGCAGTAATTAATTCGACGTAATTAAGACACTATGAACATGCACTAATGAAATTTTTTTTTATAAGGGTGATATAGTTTATTTTTTTGTAATTAGGTACTACTGAAGAGATTCGAACCTGAGACCTCAGGTTCAAGACTAGTGGTATTATCACTAGACCAATTCCTTGTTCGTAGTAAACAATATATATATTTACGTTTTAGCGGATAGTCTGTTTGTATTACCATGGGTAAAATACGGTATGGATAAATCATGTATATAAAATATGTATGCATGTATAGTTTATTTCGTTTCTAAACTAATAATGGTACGTTCAATAGTACGTTAGTAGTTATAAAATATATGAATCAATATTTTTCAAAAAAAAAAATTATATTCAAATTATCAATTTATATAATTCATTAAATATGAATATTAAACATTTTATATGAATTTAATACGTGTTTAGTACATGAGCCATCAAACAGACGAAAAAACAATGAAATAATCTGATAATCGTATAAAAACAAAAAGTTTAAACGGATAAAATGTGTGCATTCATATATATCTACGTATTAATTTAGTAACTATCATATTACCTACCGATTGAAACATGCGTCGGTGGTGGTGACTGAAATGAATTTACTGCTAAATGATGAAAGTAATTGTGAGCCAAACTGCTGGAATATAATTATTATTATTATGCGGACCAATATATATGATAAAATAATAATATTTGTTGTTGGAATGTCGGTTTCTAGCTGTGTGATTCATGATATAAAAACAATCTCTAATTGTGTTTAACGAAGGGGTTTCCACTTTTCATTAGTATATAGAAAAACACTCTAAAGACAAAAACAATTAATATATAGATAAAATAGGGAGCAGCATCGAAGATGTTAGATAGATAGAGGACAGTTCATGATGTCCTTCTGGTTGGCAGCTGGCACCGACGCGCAATTGCCACTCTCGCCCATGAAGTTGAACAGCCTGATCTGATTACATGTGAAAACTTGGCGTTGAAATTAAAGGGGACCCCAGGAAGTCAAATGGAATGAAATTTTCAAGGGTCACCAGTAGTAGAAACTAGAAACTAGGAAAATAGCAATGTGCTGGGCCATTAGAAAATTTGGGTAGGTTAGGTTGCTAACTCTTCTAGGTCGGAAAAATGATATTCTATTAAATTCGAGTTGCATTTAATAATATTGGAGAATTAAACACTTATATTAATTACATTTTTTTTTATTTAACTAACATTATACTGATACCATTACAGTCGTACCCGGAACTCATATTAATTAAATTTGTTTTTTTTAACTACCATTACACTTATACAACTACCATTTCACTTGTACATTGATATCATTGCAAGATACAATTAACATTCAACTGAAAAAGGGAAAGTAATTAATATGGTTTTTTAAATTCATACAGATTATTAAATGCAACACAAATTAATTACTTTAAAAGCCTATTATTAATAGGGGGTGCCATTTTTCCAATCCCTTTAGGGATAGTCATGCTATCTCACCCCGAAAATTTGATTTTGAAGTTTATACCATAACGAAAAAATTAAGACACTATGAACATGCACTAATAAAAAAAAAATATTTTTTAGATAAGGGAGATATAGGGATGAGTTAAGATGGTTACTGATTTTTAAGTAGCCATAATGACTACCTACATCTCCACTCTCCATTCTCAGGATTATTAAACTGACGGTCATTATTGAATAGGGATAATTTTGGAACGAAAATAATGATCACACTTAATTACTTTCCCTAAAATAAGATTTTCCATATATTCTCTCCAAACCCTTAATAACCCTATTCCTTTCCTTCCTTTTCAATCACTGCTGTATTCCTCCCCTTCCCCTTCAATCGCGGACCGCCGTAAACCTGGCTACGCCAGCCCTCCCCTCCCACCATCTTTGTATTCAAACCCCCCACCAACCCTTGCGTGCTTCTAAATCCATGTTCCCCTTCTCCTTCCTCTTTTTATTCAACCCAAAATTCCGTCTATCTACCGTTAGTAAAGAATAAAATACTATTTTTGGTAAAAAAAAAAGAAATCGAAAACAAAACCAAATATATCCATCCTTCTCCGCCTCCGCCTCCAAACCCTCCTTCTCCGCCTCCGCCTCCAAAATTCCGTCTATCTACCGTTAGTAAAGAATAAAATACTATTTTTGGTATAAAAAAAAAGAAATCGAAAACAAAACCCAATATATCCATCCTTCTCCGCCTCCGCCTCCAAACCCTCACCGCCGAGACGCCGCCCACCGCCAGTGCTGCAACTTCTCCACAAGAAGCATCGTTCCTCTCTTGTCCTGATATCCTTGCATTGAAGCTTTGATCCACTCCCTCTCCATTCCATCTCTTTGGTCCCCTTGCATTGAAGCTTTAATCCACTCCCTCTCCATTCCATCTCTTCGGCACCATTCTGTCTTGAACTTGTGGAAACATGAAGAATTACGAAAACAGGAAGAAGCCTGATGTTCTTCATCTTCGCTCATCCTTTAGAGGTTCTATTTAGGAATTTCCCCTTAGTTTGGGAAGATTGCATCTTGAATTCCACCTGCCAGATCGGGCTTTTGAACCCTGATTCCACCGAATCAACGCAGATCCAGGTTGTTCTCACCGGGTGGCTTTTCTTGCGGCGAAAACATAGGTCAGCCGACCTCCCTGAGATTCGAGGTTACCATGTTGTTCACGACTTCCGACGACTCCGCCCCGGCTAGGAACGACATTGGCAGCTCCAGCTGCACTGTCGAGTTCACCGCCGCCGGGATTTGAAGCAGATCGAACCGTCGTCCGCCCATCTTCTGATTCTAAGTTGCGAGCCTTAGATGAGATGTTAGTTTAGAGGTGAGATTGACTAAAGATTGCTTTTCACTCATCTTGATCACCAAAGATACGAATTGCTAAATTACCCAAGAGAGAACTCAATAGTAAATAAGCCGTCTATAACTCCTAATGAGATTATAGTGATGAGAAACTGTAACCTTCATTAGCGACCAGACAAGTTAAGGTCAATTATATGAACTATGTGGCTTGATTAGAGATTGTTCTATAGTCTTTGAAAATCTTAGGGGGAAACTTGTTATGAACAACACTCTCCCCAATTGAAAGCATGTCCATTTTTCATATGTTTATCTCTCTCATGTATTTGAATTTCGTTAAAACTCAGCGGAACCATGTACACAACTTGCTTGTGAACACAACTATATAGATCTTGAGTACTCAACTAAAGGGGACCCTAGACAATACATGACCTCATAAGGTTTCATCTACTTAGTTTATCTTTGACCACTTTTACAACAAATTTTGAAC